CGGTGCTCGTAGAAGCTTTCAGCTTTCGCCTGATTTAACCCAATACCACATCCCTGTGGTTCCCCCACCCCGTAACTCGCCCCAAACCAGCTCTGCTGGATTCCAGCTCTTTCAGCAGCAGCCAGAGCCCGAACCGGCCCTGCCAGCCAGTGACGGACGTGGTGACGGATGCGGCTGCACCAAAACCTTCCAGCCTGATGGTTTAAATGTAACACCCCCAAACCCCAACCTTTTGGAGACTTCGCTGCCGTGCCTGTTTCTCGCCAAGGACTGACCTGGTGGGATGCTCCGGGCACCCCCATACTCACCGCTCCGTAAAAGGCTGGCGTCAGGTCAGGGACAGACATCTCTGGGTAGACGTTCTGGAGGTACCAGGTGAAGTTCTTGCAGTGGAGCTGCTCCCTCAGCTTGCGCCGGTCTGTAATGTCACCATACGTCTTCTATCGACAAAGTCATGTGAGAAAATTAAACTAACCTCTGAAGCCAGCAAGGAAAACCCCAAAAATCTCTCAAGCTAGGCTCAGAGCTGAGGGGTCCTCCCGTCTTTGTCAGTGACTGTCATGGTGTGCCAGGACCGAGACCAGTGGTGGGGTCTTGCAAGACACCCAGTCCCTGGCGACTCCCCTCAGGCTCTCTCTGCTGGGACATTTTGGCATCACAGCACAAGGTTTTGGTGTTGGAAAAAAAAAATTAGTTTTCTTAAATCAATGTTTTTCTAGTAGAAATCATTATGGCCAAATCGGAAAAATAAAAAATTGGAGTTTGTCTACATCTTTCCACCTGCCCTTGCTTTCCCACCTTTGGGCTGTGCCCACCTCCCCCCTCTGCTCAGGCTTGAGCTGCTGGCAGGATCAGTGCCGGGAGAACCGAAGCCCGCCGGTGCGGCTGGTACCTCTCTGGCCATCTGTGCAGCTTGCTGGTTCCTTCTGTAGAAGATCTCCTTGTAGTCGTCCATCCAGACCTCAGCCAGGCGGACCAGGTTCCTGGAGATCACCTGGGTGCCCTTGGGGAAGGTGTGGGGGCTCTTGGAGCGGAAGACGTGACCCACGACAGAGCAAGGGATGATCTCAACTTGACCCCCACACTGCCAGACCTAGAGAGACACAAGACCTGAGACATGGGGGGGTTCAATGCCCCCACGCCCCCCAAGATGGGGTACCCCTGAAGACACCCTTTGAAGATGGCAATGACCCATCCTTACCCTGAAGGACATCTCCACGTTCTCACCCCCCCAGATCTCCATCTGATCATCGTAGGAGCCAATGTGCTCAAAGTAGGACCTGGAGATGGCAAAGAGGCCACCAGCGAAGGTCGGGGACCTGTGGGGGAGGTAGGAGAGGTGCAAAATAGGGTTACAATAAAAACAAAAGTCTGAATTTTGGGGGCATCACGTTCCTCATGGTGGTTTGCACTTCGCAGCTGCATCCCCTCAGTCTGCCTGCCCCATCCAGGTGTGCCCCAGATGTTATGGCTTTGGTGGAGGGGCTGGACCCAGCTGCCAGGAGGGGACAGAGGCAACAGAAGCAGCATGACAGAGAGGGGCCTTGCTGCCAGCTCTCGAAAGGGGGATATTGTTACTGAAAAGCTATCACCAAAAAGAAGGGGGGAGATTAGAGCCGGGCGGCCGGCGCCCTGTTCGCTCCTCCAACTCCTCTAATCTTTTCCATCTGATCTTTAGAAGAGGCTGGAACAGAAACATCCTTTTATTCAGGAAAAATAAAGGATTCACTGAGCTGCTGCGTTCCTGCCGAGCAGAGAGGAGACGCTGCCGGGAGAAGTGACCTTTGCTGGGACGGGGACGTCTCCCAGGTGACCTCTGCACAAAGCCAGCCCTGCCAGCAGCCAGGGCACGGGCCGGGGCCAGGCAGCGTGTCGGGTACCTCCCGGCGGGACAGCCTGGCTTGTTGTGGGGCACCGATGGAGAGGTGCAGCAGCAAAAAATGCTCAGAGTTTCTCTGTATGCAAAATAAGGGGATAAAAATAGGTTTTTCGGTGCAGTCTGATCTGCAGGTGACATTCTTGCTGCTGTGCCAGCACGGGTGCCCATGCAGCTGGATGTCCAAGAGCAGGAAGACACAAGGCAGTGATTAAACCCTTAATGAGGGGATTCGCAGGAGTGGAGAGGTGGCTGGAGGCAATTGAAAGGTCCTTTATGCTTCCAATTGTAAAAGGTCCTTAATGGTTCCATGCTTGCCAGACCCGAAGGAAGGTTTCTCCTCTGCCAGCCCCACAGCTCTGCCTGTGCCTGAGCACCATTATGGAGGCATAAACAGCCTGAGATCCCTCAAGCCAAGCATCCCATGGGGGAAGCCCTGCTGGAAAGGGACAGAATCATCCACTAAGGGGCACCAAAAACAACAGGGAAAGCACCAATTTGTTGGAAAAAGGAGCAAAACCACCTGGAGGAAGGTGCAGTTCCCCAGCACAGGGCACCCAGCTCTTCCAGCCCTGGCTGTCCCTCCCTAAGCACCCTGCACCAGCCACACACACTCAGCCCGGTCACTGTGGGTCTGGACCCGGCGTTCCTAGGGCTCATCCAATCTTTGCTACCATCCCAACAACTCCAAAGTGGATAAAAATCCCCCCTGCAAGGGCTCACTTGATGGGCCAGGTCTCATCCTTCCTCCGCTGCCTCTCCCGGGGCGGGACGACCTCCCAGCCAAAAGTCAGGCTCCAGTCAAAGTTGCCCCGACTGTGCTGTTTGCCGTTCTGGACGGGCTTGGAGAACTCGAAAGTGTTGAGATCGATGGTGGCGATGTCGGGGCTGACCACGGCCGTGGGCTCTTCGGCGATGCGGGACAAGAGGGGCTCCAGCCAGCCGTGGAAACACTCGCCTGGGGCGTGGGGAAGGGTTGGCCGTTGAGCGGAGACAACTTCACCCCCCAGCTCCCTGCGGACCCCCGGGAGGTGGTGGCTACTCACAGTGGGCATCCAGGAAGGTCAGGACCTCCCCGCTGGCCACGCTGGCCCCCAGCAGCCGTGCCGTGATCAGCCCTTTCCTCTCCTCCTGCCGCACGACTCGCACGATCTGGAGCTGCTCCACGTAGCGATCCAGCTCGTCCTTCAGGTAGTCTGGGGCACGGGGGGAAAGCAACTGGATGTGTTGGAGAGGGAGATGCTGGTCCCTGCGCCCCACCAACCTCCCTGCTGCCCCCATCCCACACGCAGGAGCCGCTGCTCAGACTCTGCCCCTGAGTTCAGATCCCGGGACACAGGGTTGACACCCAAGAGTGGGTTTGGGGAAGAGAGTGAGTTTTAAAAAGGAACCAGCCTCCCGCCCCATCTAATCCCCACTGCAGAGGGATCAGGGAACAGTGGGGTGAGGGCTCCTGCCCTGACATGTCACTGGGCTCCTCTGCTCCCAGGCGTGGAAGGATGCT